AAATACGCGCCACTCGCCGTCGTCGCCCACGTAATGATCTTCGGGCCAGTTGGGCCAACTAGACACCAACTGGGCGGCCGCGGCTTCTTCTTGGATCACGTGGACGTGTTGCTTGACAAGTTCGAGTTCCGGGAACAACGTTCTATGTGCAACGTGCATCAACACACACCAGTGGAAATATAGATATATTATATATATGTGGTCGATTATTCCGTCCGTTAAAGTTCATGCATCAACACACCAGTAGGAATATATATATATATATTAAAGTGCATGCATCAACACACCAGTGGAAATATATATAAATATATATATGTATATATATTGGGTCGATTTAGTCTTTTAAAGTTCCCAACGCTTGATGATTTGGACTCCACTGTGTATAATCCGTGCGGAGACATTGGATTGGCTTATAGAATGTATAGAGAAAAATATCCACTTCGCCCGTTCCGGTAGAAAATCGAAAGTGGATTATAGCCAATCAGCGACAAGTAGTTTCAGATTGACCAATGGGAGAGATGATTGAGGCCTGGTGTGATTGAACAGGATCCGGACATTCATACCAATATTTATATATAATATATACATCGCAAAACGTGGAAATACCCAAGTCGTCCAAATCAAACGAAAGAAATTTTCAACATCGTAACAATATATTTATATATATATACATATATTGCTGATTGGGTTGGTTATTGTGTGTTTTTTTGGTGGGATCACGGTTGGACGTACGTATAGTCGTAATAACTGGGGTTCATGCTGTCGTCAATGTCGTCAATGTCGTCGTCGCTTGCTTGGTCATTGATCACGTCATCAATGACGTGATCGTGTAGGATAACGTCATCTTGCACTTGCACCACCGAGTGGTACCCCACCAGCCCAAACTGCAAACTGCCCAACCGCACAGCTTCGTATTGTGGGGACTTTTTCAATGTCAGCAACGACGCAAACTGGACGATCTCGTCTTGAGTCAATGCTTCCACGATTCTATGATATAGTAGTACAAAGAACATCATATAAATATATATATAATGTCGAAATAAGAAAATTTGTCAAATATATATATATATATATATATATA